GGCTGGGGGGAGGCACCAAGGAAAGCTGCAGATTGTATATTTGTTAGGCTGTTCAGATGACTGTCAAGCCTAGACGGAGGAAGGGCTGGTGTTTCAAGGATTGCTAAGCTAGCCCTTAAAGTAAGAGGGGCCTGAAAATTCCCATGACTACTGACTCTTACTCACTTTCTGGTATCCAACTCAGTTCTTGGCATGGAACCATGTCATGTCTGACCATGTACAGCTGCCAATACAAACTTATCCAGAACCTTGGAGAAACTAAAAGTGTATATAAGCCCTGACTTCCTACAAATGGGTCTCAGCCTTGGGATGCAAATCCATTGAGCCAACTTGTGCAACAGTCCTGCTTCTTATTAGCTTTAGTGTCCTTTTGTGCCTCAACACCCCCAGGTGTGTGAACTCCATGCCCACTAAGAAGGCAGGGTTTTTTTTTTTTTTTTTTCAGAGGTGGTACTTGCCTCTCTGCAGTAGGGAGCCCTGGGAGTCCACTGGGGGAAGGGTGTGGGTGATTCTCCAAGTGCCCTGATTTTGTTCTGGTCAGGAGGACTTGTATGCTTTCCTACCATTTTTAGTGGTCTTTGTCTCACATCCTTTTGGAAATGCTGATCCTTCAGACCTTAGATTTCTTCCAAGAGCTATTGTTTTCTTACTCATGTTGATCTTTGTGTCAGTGTAAGAAAAGTGGACTCTATTTTGTTTTTAAAATAATCAACTTATAACAGATGCTTTAATAATTTCTAAAACTGAAGTAAGATTGACCTACAAAATTATTTTAGTTTCAGTGTGAAAATAATTAGTATATATTGTGAAATGACCACCACAATGAAACTATCATCTTTCCTTAACAACTTTCACAAGTACAATGCTATATTATTGATTACAGTCCTCATGCTGTGTGTAACATCTCCATTACTTAGTTATTTTTTAAGTATTTCTCCTTTCACTGTATAATGTCTCAACACAAGTGCTCATCTGTTCATGGGGTCACTTGTCTGGTCCCAGAGAACTCATAGGCATCTCTGCTCTAAGAGGGCTGTTGACATTGGAATGCCATGAATAATAATTTGTGGAAACAACTTTCTTGTTTAAATTGTGAGACATTTTTACTGATAAAGAATGCATAAATGCATATGCCCATATATATCTATATTGATGGATGGACAAGTAGTCAGGTAGATAATTTGATTGTTTGGTACTGTGATTATAATGTTTTCTATCACCTGTTTACAACTTAGGAAGAGTGATTGGTCTAGGGTATACCCTGTCTCTCATTTGCACTCCCTACATTGCAGGATGTGGGTCTGCTAGACTTTAAATGGCCTGCTCTCTCTTGATTTTGGTTATATGCAGTTCTGCATTCAAATACAAGATCAGTTTAGATTGGTCAATTAGTTCTAAGTTTCCTTTCAAATTAATAGGAGTAAGATGCTTGAAAGGGCCTGCAACAATGGGTAAGCATCACGAGGTACAACCGGGAATGCCTGGGAGACCATTGACTGATGCACAACTCTGCCCAGTTCCATTAAGACTGGAATCCTGGATCTTGGATATAGTTTCTATCTCAATACTAAGTCATCAAGCAGATGAAAAAAATACCTTGTCAGCAAACTTACTTTCCCCTGGAAACCATAGAAACATAATGTACATTTGACCTTTTTCTTTGTTCTCCTACTCCATGTAATGGATGCTTATTCTATAAATCCAAAAGCCAGGATCTTGCTCTTTTGGTGGCATACTGCACTGTGCAGCTTGTATGGCTCACTGTGATGTCAGTGCAGTAGGAGGAAAGGAAACAGAAGTCATGATGGAAAAAAATTCTGATGTATGAGTGTGTGGTATGATTAATTTATTTTGTAGTAAACTAGTGACCCATATTAGAGTATTTTGTGCAGAATGCTCAGAGAAACCACAGTGAAACGGATTGATTTCAAGTCACATTCTAGATACTTGTGGAGGCTATCAAGGTGGTAGTAAAACCAGAATCAGAAAAACCTAGATTTAAATTACCTAGGTGATTGACTTCACCCTTACAAACCAATTGTATTTCTAAACTTGTCTTCTCATATCTAAAATAGATCTAACTTTAATGCTTAATGAAGTTGGTTAAGGTTCCAAAAGGAAAAAACAATTGGAAGAACTATAACGATAAATTTGGGAAACACTGTGTTGCCATCATCACATATGGTGCTGACTTTGAAGGGGTTTTGTTTTTAACTATTTATTTGAAAATAATTATAGATTCACAGGAAGTTAATTAAAATGTACAACGTTGTTCCATACACTTTTCACTCAGTTATTTTCCCATGTAGAATTGTGTACATAGCACAATATCAAAGCCAGGAAACCGACATTGATGCAATCCACAAAATCATTAGGGTTTCACAGGTTATACAGACATTCATATGTGTTTGTGTCTGTGTGTAGTTTTTTTTTTTTTTTTTAAAGATTTATTTATTTGTACATACAGAACTGGGGTACAGGCCAGAGGCTCAGGGGCGGTGAGAGGATTCACCAGAGACAGAGTGGGGAGCAGAACAGGAGATCGATGAAGTACACTGCTGAGGGGAGCAGCGGGCGGGTCAGGAGAGGTCTGCCACGCCATGTGGTCACCTCCGGGGCAGGCGGGAATCGAACTCATGGAAGTGGCCTCAGATTCTCAGTGCTGTGCTTTAACCCGCTGCACCACCAGGGAGGGCCACATCTTCAGTTTTTTAATGAAACTGCCAAATTGTTCTGTGCACTGGCTGTACCATTTGGATTTTCTATCAGCGATGTCTGAGTGATTCAGTTTCTCTACATTTTTGCTAGCATTTTGGTGTCATTATTTTTCCTTTTAGCCATTCTGATAAACATTCATTCAGAGGTATCTTTAATTAAAAAGGTTTATAATGGGGGTCTCCCTGGTGGCTCAGGTGTTAAAGTCTCAGCACTATCAAAACTATTGCTCTTGGCCGCTGCTGCCCCTCTCCTCTGGCCTATAGCCCAGCTCTTGTTTGCATAAATAAGTAAAAATAAATCTTTTTTGAAAAAGGTTCATAATGGCTAATGTTGCTGGTGATCCTTTGCTGTGCTTATTTGCCATGTATGTATGCTCTTCAGTGAAATATCTATTTATATCTTTAGGTTATATTTTAGTTATATTTTTAATTCTTGAGTTTTACAGTTCTTTATATACTCTAGATACAAAGTCTTTGTCAGATATGGGCTTTGGTAATATTTTATCAGAGTTGGTAGCTTGTGTTTTCATCCTCTTCAATAGGGTTTGGTCGAGCAAAAGTTTTTAATTTTTGATAAAATTTAATTTAGTTTTACTTTATGGATTATGCTTTTGATGTTTCTTTGCCTACTCTTAGATCATAGACATTTCCTGTTTTTGCTTTTCTAAATGTTCTGTAGTTTTACATAGAGTTGCACATTAAAATTTGTATGAACCATTTGGGTTTTAGTTTTGTATAATGTATTAAACTGAGGTTGAGGATTTTTGGAGGATTTATAATTAGTGCTAGACATATAATAACATATGTCTTGTTTAAACCATGAAAAAAAAATCTAGATATATTTTATAACAGTCTCTCTATTTCTATATGTTTATAAACATTATTTCACATTTACCCTAAACTTCACGTCTTTCATTCTTTCCTCAGCTTTTCTCAGTTGTTTTACTTGATGTAAAAAAGGCAAAACTGAGTGGAGAATCTAGTAGTGCCCGAGGGCCTACCTTTATCTCCAGCTACAAAGACAGCCACTTGTTTTCTTAGGTTAATCAGGTCAGGATAGCAGCTTGGATTACCCAGGACTAGGAGTGATACAATGGGAAGGTGTTCAGCTGTTGTTTAAATATATTCCAATTCATTTGCTGAAATTCTGCTTAATGCATACCTCTTACGAAAGTTACAACTTTCACAATTCATATGTGTGTGTGCACATATATTAAAAGCACATGCATATATACTTAGACACACCTTAGCTTAAATATAGTATGTTTCTGTTGTTGCTCTGTTTCCTCAGAGAACCTTCCAAATTCTAGCTTTTAGAGATCTCTTTTTCATGTGTTTCCTATATGTAAATGGTTATTGCTAAAAGAATCCTTGCTATTGATATCCCGTTTCATTGTAATTTCTTAAAGAGCCTGTGCTTAGAAGATATAGTGGGGGTGGAAATTCATAGTTTATTCATATATGTCTGAAACACAAAAGCAAAAATCTTTTCCACAGAAAAAGATTCCTCATGACTTTTTTAAACAAACTTTTCCCCTCTTGTGTCAATTGGTTAAAATTTGGAAAAGGACAAATCCAGAGAATTAAACAGAATCTGAAAACAAATAGTGATTATTTTCAAGCTATAGACCATGGCATAGGGATAGATGAATTTTCTAGTATTAAATTATTTGGGTGGGTTTGCTTTCCAAATCTTGCAGCATTAAATTCTGAGTTCTTGCTTATTATTTGTTAAACATTATCATAGGCCCATCGCTCTCCACACAAATAACCTTTTAAGAAATATTTCTATTAATAGCTAAGAGGATTTACAGCCTTAAAATCTGCCTTCCACAAAAAAACACACAACACTGAGTAAGAGGACTATTATTCTTCAGTGAATTGTATGTAGTAATAGAAATTCACTATTTAAGTATGAATTTTGTTCCTGTACTAGCTTATCATTTTTTTTTTACTAGCTGTGTTTACTATTTAGTATGTGATCTTTAAGTGAGGAAAAAAATCTGAGAGTTAATATTAATAACTATGAAAATCTGTCTGTTGATTTTCTGCTTTTTAAAATATTAGCTATTGAAGCAAACAAACAAAAATAAGTAATTTGTCTTGGTACAGGGAAGCTGTTCAGTTTGAAGAAAATTGGTCTTTATGATCAGAGTTCTAGTCTTTTTTTAGAATTGATTTGAAAACATTTTTGATAAATTGTCAATAAGATAAATTAAGCAAAAGCTGATTTTGTATTCTTTCTGGATAAACATTTTGTCAAGAATTGTGAGATTGTCTTACCTTAATATTAAACACAGCTTTGGAGCCTCCTTCATTCTTTGTGGTTTGGTCAAGATCTGCATTATATTCCTCAGTCCTGGACAGGATCATAAACTGTTTCCACTTAGTTGAACTGAGGATATATTTTTGGAGATATTCTTGGTTTTCTTGGGAAAGCCTGAGCATGTTTTTATAATAAAGGCTTTGAATGAGTCCTGTAGACTGATTTAAACGCTAGTCCAGGCTGCACGCTGTATCTGTTTGGCTGATGCTGGGCTGTCTCTCAGTTGGCAGGGGCCTTCCTGAAAAAAAAAATGACACTAATTTCAAGCCAAAGGATAAACTTTTTTTGGAGCAGCAGTTTAACCACAGATCTTTAGTGTTCTCTTCCAGGTAGAGCCTCTTATCGAAATGTGGAAGTATGTTATGACTGCGCTCTACAGGTAGCAATGCGCTGCTAATTAAAATTTAGTTCATCAAAACTGAAAAAATGGGGCCCTCTTTGGTGGCGCATCAGGTTAGGACACAGCACTGCAAACTAGCAGCAGCCCTTTCAGTGCGAGTTTGATCCCTGGTCCCGGAGGTGGTCCACATGCACAGCAGACCTCTCCTGACCTGCCTGCTGCTCCCAGTACTTCGTTGATCTGCCTGTTCTGCTCCCCACACTGTCTCTGGTGAATCCTGTCACCGCCCCTGCACCTCTGGCCTATACCCCTGTTCTGTATGCATAAATCAATAAATCTTTAAAAAAAAAAAACAACTGAAAAAATGATGGCTCAAGTGATATACAACTTAGTAGGTATTGATAAAGGATAAACTTGCCAAAATTCATCATTGTGTGTTATAGTTGCAGTTCAGAGGGTGAATTCTTTATGCAGATTATATGAATTCTTACACTAGCACTCAACAAATAGTGGGTTATGCAAATGAGAGGCAGATGGTCTGTTTAATCTATCTAGATTCCTTGAAAGATAATTTTAGTACATGTCAGCTTTGTAGCTAGAAGCTTGTGCTAAAATCAAGCCCAAATTTAACTATGAAGATTATTATACTTTTATTATTTTACTTTTTATTTATTAAAATGATTTTATGTGATAACTAGTCATCTAATAAGTAGGACAAAAATTAGTTTCTAACATTAGACTTAATGTTGTACAGTACTTTACAAATACAGCATTATTTTGTAGAAAGCACAAGGGTAAAACAATACCTTCCTCTCACAAGGTGACTGATGTCCCAGATGCCATTGCTGGGTTTAGGAGTGTGTATTACCATAGACTATGAACTGGAATAGTTTCCTTTTGTAAAATGATCCCAACCACCCAAAACTAATCTATAAATCAATGTAAAAAAAAGCAATTCCTATCAATATCCGAGTTCCCATGTTTTTTTTTTTCTTTTTTTAAGATTTATTTATTTATTCATACAGAACTGGGGTACAGGCCAGAGATGCGGAGGGTGAGAGGATTCACCAGAGACAGAGTGTGGTACAGAACAGGCAGATCGACGAAGTACACTGCTGAGGGGAGCAGCGGGCGGGTCAGGAGGGGTCTGCCTCGCCATGTGGTCACCTCCGGGGCAGGCGGGGATCGAACTCATGCGGAAGTGGCTTAAGCTTCTTTGTGCTGTGCTTTAGCCCACTGCACCACCAGGGAGGGCCCAGTTCCCATGTTTTTCTGTAGGAATTAGTAAGTTGATTCCAAAATTCATAAGGAGTTATAAAGAATCAATCACATCTTTAGAAAGAGGAACAAATTAGGTAATTCATGTTGCTCAATTTTAAAACTTAATAGGCAGCTACAATAACTAAGATTGTGTGATGCTGGTCTAAGGATAGACTTATAATAAGCAGAATAAAATTGGGAGTTTAGAAATAAATCTATAAACTTATGGCCAGTTGATTTTTGACAAAGATGTCAATGGGGGAAAGAATTATCTTTTCAACAAATAGTGTTGGAACAACAGATAAGCACATGTATGAAAATTAAGTTGTAACTTTGCCTCACAGTGTATAATAAAATTAACTCAAAATAAATCATGGACCTAAGTGTAAGAGCCAAAATAATAAAGCTCATTAAATCAACACAGGGATAAATCTTAGTGAATTTGAATTAGACAAAGCCTTTTCTTTTTTGACACAATCCCAAAAGCATAAATGACAAAAAATATATAAGTAAATTAAACTTCATCAAAATCAGAAACTTTTGTTCATCAAATGACATCAAGAAAGAGGAAAAAGTAACCACAAAAATGATAAAATATGGGGCCCTCCCTGGTGACGCAAAGGATTAAAACTCAGCACTTCGAAGCTAGCCACAGATACTTCAGCTTGGGTTAGATCACAGACAGGGAGGTGACCCACATGGCTCAGCAGACCTTTTCTGTCTTGCCAGCTGCTCCCCTCAGCAGTGTGCTTTGTCAGTCTGTCTGTTCTGCTCCCCACTCTGTCTCTGATGAGTCCTCTCACCGCACATGCACCTCTGACTTGTACCCTAGTTCTGTGTTCTGTATGCATAAATAATAAATCTTTTAAAAAATAGCAATATATGAACAAAAGTAAATCTACATATTTATATATAAGTATATATTGGATTTGTACCAGGAGTAGATAAAGAGTTCTTACACACACACAATGACTAAACATTTTAAAATGGGTGATTGTAGAAAAAGACTTCTCCAAAAAAAAATATGTAAATGGCCAACAAGAACATGAAAAGATGATCAGCATCATTAGGGTCTCTCATAAATTACTTGAAAGAATGTAGAATCTTGCAACTACTTTGATGTTTCCTCAAAATGCTTATCCTAATTACCATATGATCTAGCAATTCCCTCCTCACTATTTGCTAAATTAAGAGAAATAAACTGTACATACACACAAAGACTTGCACACAAATATGAAATAATTGGAAACATACCATAACCCATCAATTAGTAGTTGCATGAGGCATTTAGTCTATAGTAAGGGGAATATTGTCTAGCGATAAAAACAAAAGAGGTAGTGACACAGACTACAGCAGGATGAATCTTGAAAATGTTATGCTAAGCAAAAGAAACCAGTCACAGGAGACCACATGTTGTACAATTCATTTACAAAAAAAATGTCCAGAATAAGCAAATCTTAAGACGTAAAAATTAAGTTAGCTGTTGCCTGTGAAGAAAGGGTTTGTGAAGTGATGAAGAACGATTACTGATGGTTGAAAAGTTTCTTCTGGAGATCATGAAACTTTAGAAAGCTGTTTGGGGAGATTAGAATCCAAAGTGGAGTCAGAGAAGGTTCCTTTCATCCAAACTCTTCCAAAAACTATAGCGCCACCAACTGGGAAGGTGGAAGTAATTCAACACTCTAAATCTTAAATGGTAAAATGGATAGACAAAATAAAAATAAACAAAACCCACACCACATGGCAACTTGAAACCTCAAGGGAGAGAATAACTCTCCATAGTCCAACCACACAAATGTAGATTTTATGTCCTTAACACTTAGCAGGTTCCAAATTCTACGATAAAGAACCTGAAAGAATTGGAATATGCAGCAAAGTAAATCAAAATAATATAAGAAAAGCTAATTAGAGACATAAAACAAAGTTCAGAAAGACAAATAAACGTCATGATTATGAAAATATTGGCATTCAGTGTGTGGGGTTCTTGGGTTATCTGTGAGAAAAGTTTCAACAGAGAAACACTCAGCTTCTGATGGTGAGTTTACTAAGGAAAAGATGTTTTCATAGACTGAAACAGGGAAAGCCTGTATTTTTCAAAGGAAATGTTGATTAGGAAAAATTTAGAAAACTGTATAGACACAGGAGTGCAGAATTGTTGCTGCTGCCTTTGAAAGGGAAAGGTTTGTTAAAGAGATGCCTGCGGAGGCACAGACATGAGTTTTGGGACAAGAGCTGAATTTCACCAGATCAGGAGTTGTTCAGCTATACTGTTCTTCTTGTCCCTTTGTGAACCAATTGAGTCCTAGGGAATTTAGAGTTAAGTAGGCAATTTCAGGGACAGTACAGGCAGGGGACTTTGGGAGAGTTAAAAAGGCTTTTGAGATAGGCCCTCCCTGGTGGCGCAGTGGGTTAAAGCACAGCACTAAGAAGCTAAAGCCACTTCCACATGAACTGGATCCCACCTGCCCCGGAGGAGATCCACATGGC